TTGGAACCCAATGATAAGCATTGAGTTCAGATTGTGAAGTAGTCAACTAGCCGTAATAGAGGTTGCTAGGGTGACCCAGATGTTGCACAATTCGTATCGGGATATATTTCACTGTATCTCATCAGGTGCATATAATATTCATGATCAAAATAAATATCCAGATACAAATTGTGCAACGTAAATCTACCTTATTATCCATTCAAGTTCATTTCGGGATAAAAGTTGTTTCAACTCATCCAAATGTATCCGGTTCAAAAAGGAGACATGAACGTGGTACGGAATCAAATGAGGGAAAAATAGAAACAAACTTATTCAGACTTCTCACATGCGTCTAGGGATTTTGTTATATGCTGAACTGATGAAGCTAAAACGTTAACAATGAATTCGTTCGTTTTAGGTGCAAACTGACGGGGGTCTTCATCAGCATTGAAAGATGAAATCAGAAGTTTGTGGATGAAATAGTTCACCAATTCAAGAGAAGGGTAGTTGAGTAAAAATCAGTCTTTCTTCCTATGTCCAAGAACCTTTGGGCATAAAACAGAGCCACTGTTATCTTGGACACATGTTCAATCAAAGCACCTACCTCAGTGTATAAAGAATTAAATCTGTTTGACTGAACCAACTATATACTGGGGCCCTCCTAACGATCGACACAATTCAGCGGGAATGCCATGAGGAAGAAGAGGAAATCACAGGTCACAATAAGTCACAGATGAATGAACACAAATCGAGCATCATTCTGCTGCAAGGTATGGAATCAGCTGTATAAAATCGAATGCGTGCTTAACTTGCTTCTGATTCTGGGTAATAAAAGTCTGGTTATCCAATCTATTTTCTCCGTTACTATGTTCAATTCGTGCATGTTGATTAGAGCAATTTTTCCACTCTGGAAGCCAGTTAAGATAAGCCTTATTGTCGAGAGAAACAGGAACACTCTAGCGTCTATGGCCCTCACTTTGGTGCCACCAAATTTCTGAGAGCGTGTTAATTAGGTAAATGTTGCCTTTAATGGGTTCAACCGAGTCTTTTCAGTTTGCTAACGCATTTTTGGCACAGTACTGTCGCTAAGTTGCGTCTACCTTGGACAGGAAGTTCTTACTTTGCTTCACTAAGAATGGCCACTTGGGGAAGGACGAAGCAGCTTCATGAAAGGTCTCTGATTGCTTTCACCCATGGGTAACAGCTGATTTGCACATCCTTCTGCTTCTTTTGACTGTGAAGTTCAGTCTGTGTCCTGTACGTGACTATTAAGAGACCAACCCTAAACGTCCTTCAGTTAGGTGAAAAATGACTCTTGTAATCTGAAACCGTCGTTTGTAGGAAAATGTGACAGAACAGCATCAGATGAAAAATTTCTTACACGATTATAATATAACCCCATTTGATGCAAACCCGGTTCAATAGTTTCTGAATTAAACCAATTACAGCCATACTCCCCACCTGCACCTGACTTCGAATCCTAGGTGCCACAACTAAGATACAAACAGATGTCTCCACCCAGCCATGGCATATATCTCGTCAACAGATGGGAACAGAAACTCTGCATGACAATTGGCAATTCATGATTACTTTATTTCAGCTGAATTAATCCTTGGATAATAACTTAAAGATGTGTACACGGTTATCACGTGAGATAATTGTGAAAAAATAAGTGACAGCTACGGGAAATGCTAGTAATTTCCATGTCTGTAGTAGGAGCAAATAAAGGAAGATCGAAATACAAACATCGATGGGATTAAATTATCACAGGAAACTGGAATGATTGCAAAAATTGGCCGATTCGGAATAGAGAAAAAAAAACATCAAATGAAAGAGAGAAAAAATGGAAAAATAGATTTTTGATTGCTGGTCGATCAAAGGGATCGTGGTACTCGATAGGTCAGATACCAACTGATCACAAGAGGCAGGATTCGTCCCGGGCTCAAACAAGCGGCGAGGACACCGTACGGAAAAGCAACGGTGAGGAGAATGAAAGCTATTTGTAAGACGGAGAAAATTATTGTACATATAACGAGTGGATCCCATGTGGAACGAGGGCACCGATTCACAAACGCACGTGACCCATCAGATGTCCGGATAGCGACCACGATGACAAGCAGGAAAAACGACCAGAGCTGGAAGATAAGAGGGGAAAAGGAACGGAAGTGTGTCAATAGAGCCGGATTCGACCAATAGAATAAGCATAACAGAATGACTAAGATATTTACTAACTGATAAACTTTGGCACAAATGTTCGAATATTTTAGCAAAGGAGAAACAAGATTGTGAAGGATTCATTGCATCAATAATGAAAACAACATCAGCTGCAATTTGTCTTCTGCTGCAGGTCCGGATGACTCACATGAGGCCCTCTTCAAATTTGGTGCTGCTTCTCTAGCTGGGGTAATCGCCTCCATTGTAAATGAATTTCTTAACACTTCTACTAGCCACGATTGTTGGAGATCGGTCACAATCATACCAATCCCCAAAGCATCCAACTCTTCTATCCTCTCCAAACGTTTTCGCCCCATAACACTAACACCTTCAGCTCTTAAATTGACTGAAAAGGCCATCCTCCAACGCCTTCAGCAGTCTATAAACATTCCTAGTTTGATTACAAGCCTAATACGTAAACGTTGGACGCAGTCTCCACCCTCATCCATTTTATCACCAAGACTTTGAAGAGCTCTGTTAAGGCTGTCCGGTGTTTTTCTGGACTGAAATGGTTTGAATGCCCCAAGCAGTTTCTAGCTTGGCTATCTAACAATTTTACTGATAGAGTACAAACCATTAGATTGAGGAAGGCCACATCGAAACCCTTAGTCAACAAGTCTTACTCCGCGGTCTAACCATTATTAGTCGTATCTCTTCTATTCCTGTGAATGAGTTGCCTTTAAAGCTTTCAGAGCATCATGTAACGTCCTGTGTGAAATTTGCTGAGAGGATTCTCACAGATCCTGACTACCCATTGCACGCAGAACTGACACGTCGTCGTTCCCATCATTCAACACGCTCCCAATTCCGCTGAATCTCACCTCGAATTAACGCTTACCGAAATTCACCTACACCGTATCTTGCTCGTCTACTCATTAACAAAGAGGGGTGAATAAGTGAACTTTGTCTTAACCTCGGATTATGAAATGTCCCCATGTCTGCAAAAACTTTTCTCTCCGTTGATTATGTACATTGTGACGGTTAGCGTGTATGATTTTTTAAACTGAAATGTGAGCTCCAGTGCTTGCAAATACATCATAATACGATACAATAGACTGCTGCATCGGAAAACGATAAGGGGTGAAAGTATATATGAAGTTTATTTGACATTTTTGTGCATGAAATAACTGGAACCGGAAGCGATCCCTTTTGAAACACAAAAAAGTTCAGCAATCACATAAATGAAGTTAACTAATTTGTTTTTGGTGATCCGACGTAACTTTGGAAAACCGATGTGGGTAGTTTTAGCCATTGTCATGGACTAATTTTGCAAAAGAATTCCATTTAAAAATGACTCACATAGGAAAGTTCCGAATTAAAATCAAGAAGAAAAAGAGTAGGTATGAAAGAAACAAGCCTGTGACAAAAAAAGATGTTTTGGAAAAGACTGCAACGACCCAAACGCGGTTGTGATGGTCCGAGAGCAAAGAAAAGACCTCGAATGTATTTGTTCAATCACATAACTCTTTGCTCGTTCTGGACAGAGAACATCAAACCTCAGAGCAATGCGAAGCCCAAATAATCGAGAACCAAGTCGATCGAAAAATAATCTACGGTATTATTTTGGCCACAATCAGGAATACATAAAGCAGTCATACCTCTGACAGTCTGAATCACTATCCAACCAAAGTGTAACAAATAATCACACAAATTATCCGTGGTAACAAAAAATAAATAGCAAAATGAGTAATTTGAAATATCTTCCAAATAATTCTGGACCGAACGCTTCAACAGATCAAGCAAAAATAATCTTGAGTATTACAGCCAAAACAAGTTGAATATAACCGACAGCAACAGTTAGTTAAACAAGGAGCGCTCAATCGAAACTGAAATAGTAAAAAACCAAGAAGCAGGACTCAGTCTCATTTACACATGCCTCTGCAAGCCTCAGTACGTTCGGGAGTGGGTGTCCAAGGTTTGGACTGATCACTATTCCCTTACACCTCGCGAAATGATCCCATACAACCAAGGGTCTCGAACAGCGTCTGCTGAAGAAACCCTGCTAGCTGCCTTATCGTGGCGGAGGTGTTTTCCCACCAAAGTGAGAGGACAAACAGCCAACATCCGGGTTGGTGGACCACTGGTAGTTCACCCAGGGGAGTTGGCCGAAAATCCTGATTCCAAAACAACCAAGAGGCGTACGAACCACACCTTCCTGGTTTTGGCAATGGTCACCAGTTCGATTGGGCACCTTGGACGTTCGACCCCGACCGAAGGGCGAATGATCCGATGAACTCGACACCGGCTCCCAATGGATTGCGGTTTTCACACACCGCCCCGCTGCTTTGCGTGTCAGGCTTTGGCTAGCCGAAGGCTCCGGTTGTGGATTCCTGAAGAAAATTTACCTGCCTTGGCCTAGGCTACCTGGCAGTACTCAGCTCACACGCAAATCATGGAAGGTTTTTCATTTTCATAAAGATTATTGTACCATGATGTGTCTGGCACATAGTCGGGCGTCAGACGTATGTGAAATATATGTATCATTATAAGTGGTATGTGAATGATTGGACAAAATTTCCCCGGAAGCACACAACCGGTTTCGCGGTTCTTACCGCTTGTCAGGCACACGTACCCAGTAATCTTTTATCCGTTCATTCATATACTTGTACCCAGGAAGTGTATTTTCGTCACAACAACCTTTTTTGCATATATAAATGTATATGCGCACAAAGCACTTGAAACGTTTGTTCACTAAAAAGGTGAAGTATAAAGCTCAGAATAGAGAATTCACGTACGTAAAAACCACTGCCCGAATAGCAGTAGGATAGCGAAGAAGGGTAAGAAAATGCAAGGCATTTTTGAGGAATTTTCAATCTCATTTGGAGTTACAAAGACATTGTCTCCCGGGAAATGAAGATGATATTAAAATTGCCCGTCTATGGAGGATTGTATCTATCCGGTCTAGATTCCACATTGATGTGGTGTGATAGCTCACGCGCTTTCATGTATTAGAGCACTATAAAGGATGGATCTCACAGTTACAAACTCCATCATGCTTAGATGGTTCATGAATAAAGCCCAGAAATAGTTCAGTATCGGAAGGCCCACTGATTAACGATCATCAGACTTCCTTCGATCAATCACCGCCTCTGGAGAAGCTGAATAACGGTCTAAGATCTCCACTCAACGAGCTTAGGTACCTGGGCTACAGGTTGGGCAACCCCAAGTCAATAACGTGCTGCCCATCCATATTTCACCTGTTTTGATGAATGCATCAGGCTTAAAACCTAGCTCAAGCAACGTGCCAATAACCGACAAATCAGCGAACAACGTACAAAACGTGCATGTTGCAGTTTTTACGATAGTTATTTGTTTAAGCCTTGTGTTGGATCTACATCCCACTACCTTGTAGGTAATACTGTTTAGTCAAACGCTCCCAAAGACAAAAAATATTCGTTGGTGTGAAGTACTACGAAGTATGTTGTGCGCAGTACGGATTGATGGTTCAATGAGAGTCAACAGCAAAAGAACGAAGTACAGTTGCTTATTTGTTGCGTCCCTATAAGCGACGCCGATATTACTCCAGGCAGAAAGATGTCCGATGTGCAAGTCTCAGATTACAAACGAACCATTGAGCGAAGATATAGGCGGGTTTCAAGCTTTTGTGAATGCTCTGTGTAACTATTTTCGGCATTTATTTTGCACCTTTGATGTGTTCATGCGGCTACAGGATTAGGTTGATCTAGCTACCGATTTCGCTCTAACAGGAGACGTAAAAGAGTGAACAAAGATTGCTAATTCGGTAGTTACAGGGGGCAATGATTCTTGGGTGAAACTTCGGGAAGAAGAAAGGGAAGGTTCAATTGGTAATGGCCAGCTCGGGACACTTTTAACCCTATCGCGACATTTGGTTCTCCGTGAAAAGGCGAATGCAAGCTGCAGTTTCCTATTCAGTTCCTATACACAGTGCATGAAGACGATCATCACGAGAACGAGATAAACATAGACTGCCGGTGTTCGAACAGCGCTGTCTACATCACATTGCACGAGCCTGGCCCAGCGAAAACTGTTTGGATAGTGGCGGTCACGCACTGGAGTAAGTGGTTGACCTCCATAAATTACCGTCGCTGGGGCTTGTGTCACGTCTGTCACCGGATAGGCTTCCTTGGCATGTAAATTTTGCCAAGGCAGGCAGTAGTATATGGAAGAAGGCCAACAGTGACCACATTAAGACTAGGCACCGGGATATAAAAACTGCGGCTCATTAGGATCGCCGTAGTTTTCCTGATTTAGAACCTTTTGATCAACGTAATCAATGGTAAGAGACATTAGGTTATATGACTGAGTGTGATGAGCGGTAACACCTATGCATTTTACTCACTTTCTAACCAGATCTGGCATACCTACTTCACTCACTCGGCAATTCCTTCCTCAATGGATGAACGAAAGAATAACTGAGCGACAGTAAATAAAACCGTCGCACAACAGTGCAAGACTAATGGTTGTATAAACTGAATAGCAGAGTAGTATATGGAACCCCGAAACGGATATTCAAGAAGAAAGGCAGATGCGATACTAGCTTTGAAGTGAACAGCCAGGACTACATAGGACTGGTGGGGAGAAAGAGTGCATTCTCTTCAAGTGCAGCTCATAAGCACGACCACTACTGTGTTATTTCCATCAAGATTGAAATGGAAGCATACATAAGGAAATCGAAGTCCCTGATTTAATTCGCCCCTGCCCCACTGAAAGAATTACTATGAACAACAACTGCATAAACATTATAAAACTGGACAGAGTTCAATGGAGAACAAACAATGTAAGATGAATGAGTGAAAAATTATTGAGTTCACTATAAAAACGTCCATTAGCTTATACACCTTTTCTCAAAACCCATAATTTTCGAGCCCCAACCGTCGCAATCGTGTCAGATGTTGCAGCGTTTAAAAACTGATGGTAGTAATAGGAGAGTATTTTTTCATTATTCGCGGACTGTTAATATACCCATCTGTCCAAAACGGGGTTCACTTTAAGTGTATATAGGGCACCGACACCTGTGCCATTTTATTGGATTACTTTTATTTATGTCAGGGCTTGCATATGTAAAACAATATATCGTTTGTGTGTTACATTTGGAGTTTTTACTGACAGGAGCAGAGCACTTTAAATGACAACATTGAAGCCATACGACAGGTGCTAAACGGTTAGACGGTACGGGCATGTTAAACCCTTCCCCAACGAATGTGGTGCTGCATGCGACCGCCACACCTCATTTCTTAACCAGGCTTTGTAACATTAACATTTGTAGAGAATAAAATGCTTCTACGTCCGTTGACCTCATAAGGTTCCGATACTTCTTGACCTTACTCGCCTACAGTGGCATGACGAAAGTTTTTGCGTCGAGGCTAAAGGACTATGA